TACAGAATGAACTGCTTGATGACTTGGCTGCCAGGGGTTTACGCGATAGCAATCCAACTTCCATCATTCCACTAATGTGTAACTGGGAAGGGCTCATGGTGACACCTGGGATGGAAGCAGTGACTGTCATCTCCGTTGGCCCAACTCCAGTCCTACATAGTTCAAAGATTACCAAAAGCAGCAGAACACATCACATTTAATGGATGTAAGCAGGCATGTAGTTGTTAGATTATATGGTATTTAATCACAGATTGAATGGCAAGTTATGTTTTCCCTTTGTTAAGCATTTTTCATTTAATTAATAATTGATAAAAAAGTCTGTTCTTGCTCTTTGAAGCATGATGCTGGATTCCTTGAATGGGTTGCACAGCGATTTAGCTGAAGTTTACCAGTATTTCAAGTACGGCATCAAGTCATCAGAGCATGATCTCCTTAGAGGGCTTCATTACCCCAAGAAATTTACAGTCAAGCATAGAGCAGTAGGGTACACCACAGAAGTCGGGAAATCACCTGGAAGTGTTTAAAAAATGTGTAGGTGAGACCCTTAGTGACATGGTTTAGTTGTGGACCTGGCAGTCCTGGGGTAATGGTTGGACTTGATAACCTTAAAAGTCTTTTCCAACCTAGTTGATTCTGTATTATCCCAGGGGAATTCTAGAGCACCTGCTTGGGTAGACATGTTCATTTTAGAATAAAAGTGGCTTAACTCCATTTGCCTCTTTTCTGTGAAAGCTACTTGTCAGTCTATCTGTCTCTTTCAATTTGAGATTTCATTGCATTTTTGGGCAGAACTGACAGGCATCTTCCCTGTTTTGTTCCACCTGCCATTCAGTGTCATTCAGTCAAGGCAACACAAAAAGACCAGCACTCCTAAACAAATGAAAACAAATGTTTTATTTACAGGAAAAAATCTGTACACTGTGCATACTTAAAAATATACAAAATCATAATAGAAAATATAGAAAGTGTTAAAATGTATACAAACACGGCTTAAAAATGTGACTCCTGTAAAATCTTAACTTTTGTTATTAGAGTACACATTCATTTAAAAAAATCATCATACAAAATAATTCTCAAAGCTATTAAAAAAGTACACAGTCTATATTTGAATAGTTCAATGACTACATATTATAAGAGTGATGGGATGATATGAATATACGTAAGGCTTTTACACACAACTCTTATTTCAAGAACAAAACTCTGAATCTGATCACTAAGCCAAAGAGAAGAAATTTGCAGTGGCAAAATTCATTCAGTGATGCAGGTATGCCCAGACATGGGCTACTTTAAATTTCAAACAGTTAAATCAGGTATCCTCCTTGTGTGTGAGAGGATAGCTCCCAGGAAAAATTCAGATGCTTTCTATCGACAGTATTCTAAATTACCTACTTGAAAAAAAAAAACCAAAACCAATTTAATTCACTCAATATGCATCAACTTGAGAAAGCATGAAAGGAAAAATACTAGCTGTTTATTCTGCAGTCAATGCATTTAATATCCTTTCATGGTACATCTGTGTCACTGTCCAAATGGCATCTTCCATCCTTAAAAACTGCCTAAGAGAAGAAAATGAAAAAGTAAAACCCCACCATGGACTGGATCGGTCTACATGCATTTTGAACTCCTGTTTCATTCAATCCATCTCTAAAATGACTGTGTTCAGTCTGTGCAACCATTGAGTGTAGACACCTGTCTTCATTTAAGAAAAAAGCTGTCTTGTTTTTCCTGCCTTTGTCAAGAGTTCTACAGCAACAAGTTCAGAATTTGGATGTTTTCACCGAAGTGAAAGTGTCCTGACCAAAGACGTGCAATGATTTAGCTAAGTTTGTCCGAGAGTGCAGATTAAGGAGTGTAAATCACCCCTTGCTCTCTCCCCAAAGGTATATACTTCTTGTATCATGGTAATTTTAATGACTCTACCAGAGTTTCAACACCATAAAACTGCACAGCAAGGTAAAAAAAGAAGACTTAGTAGTTTAGTCCAAGGAATGACTAACTGAGCTGTGAGTTTATGCTCAGATAACCTTTAGAATGATGAAGGAATGCAACAATTCTTTTCTAGCAAAACGATTTCAGCTCAAAATGAGGCAAACTCTACCTTTTTTTTTTTTCCTTGAATAGACAGAAGAATACCTTGATTTAACCATCCAAAGGCTGAATGCATAAAATGATAGAGCACCACAAGTCAGAAAAGCTACAGAAGTCACAGTGGAAAAGAAGAGTATAATGAAATTCAGCATAAACTCAGCACGTTTCCTTAAGCTGCTGCTGTGTTTCTGGTTTGTTCCAGCTAAGTTCACTGTTGTCCACAGCATCAGGGCACAGAAATGAGGCTCCATAGCTTTTGAAGGCAACTTATTCCTACTTGTCAGTAATACTCCATAAATTTTAAACCTGCATTATTGCAGCATGTGTGAAGGGAGCTCAGGGTTCCATTAGCAGAGGCATTTGCTTGGCTGATGATGCACCTCAATAGTGCAGTTTGTGCAAACCTCTTGTCTGCAGTGCTGTCCCACTCTGTTAGAGTGTGACAGCCACACGGGAGAGATACAAAGCCATGCCTGTATCTTTCCGCCCCTTCCCTCTCCCCCCACCAAATTATGATCTGGGTGGAAAAAGGCATTTCTTTTCACACTGTCTGCATTTAATATATGTATCTAAACCTAGCACTTGCACACGTTATTATTATTAAAAGATACATAGTTCAGTGACTACACACTCCATGTTTTAAATTTACTGAATGTGATTCTTTGTAAATAATCTCTCTGCCCTCAGGAGGGATGGGGAAGTGCCCATAAATGCAAAAATATTTGGTGGGCTCTTATAAAAGCCACAGAGCATAAGCAGTTTTGAGGGGAACACCTCTGCAGGTCCTTTATGTCCCCCCTTTATTTCTGCTTCTTCCCCTCTTGCAGCAAATGGAGATGAGCCCTCAGTTAGCACATCAGGTACATTTGCACTTGTGCCAGAAACCAAAGGAGGACAAGACAAGATAGGGGAGTAAAACTCTTCAAGGAGCTACAAGGTGTTTGAGTAGGCAGACCAGTGAAACATCACAGTGGAAACAAGTGTTGGGAAGCCACCCCAGGGATGCTTTTTTCGGGCATGCTTGGGACGCTTAGGCATCACAAGTTGGTCTTACTCCTCTGTGAGCGAGCGAGCATTTGCAGTACAGCTCTGCATCATCTTCTGAGGTGATGGTGCTACAGCACCCACATTTGCACTTGTGGAAAGAGCACTGACTGCTGTATATATCATATATCAGGCAAAGAAAAAGGTATCTGCTTGGGAGGGCTTGAATGTGGACAGTCCCGTAAATTAAAAATATACAGTTCATTTTGTAACGCCTCAGACCTGGTTCTGCATTGTTACTTAAATAATGTATTAAGTAGCTTAGCACTTGTTACATGAAACGTTATAATTTGCCTTGTTCTGTACAACAGCTATGTTGATTGCTCTGACAAATTACTGAGGGAATAATACAACATAATCCTGTGTGGGTAGTTGAGTAACACAGTATTTTTCTTCCTTGTGAAAATCAAAGTTAAGTTAGTGGTTGCAGACCAGCCAAAGTGATATGCTTTTCTTTTTCTTTTCAGAACTCGAGAATTTCCTGCTTATGGAAAAATAGCATATTCACTAGTCCTAGAAAGCTAATCAACTCCCTTCCTTTACAAACACATGGTAGCTAACCCAGCATACAGGAGCGACAGAGACATGTTTGACTGCACTGTTCACACTTCCTATGTTTTGCAAACAGGGTACCAAACATATGGACAAATAGATTAGTTCTATGTAGGTTATCTGTTGTCCACACTATTAAATAATAGTGTTATCAACTTCAATAATTAAAGTTGCTGCCATACATAACATTAAGAAATTGTTATGTAAAATATCCAGAGTCTTAAGGCTAGTATGTAAAACTTCTTCATTTTGACATGTACCAAAATGATTTATGAACATAACTATCCATATAACACAGAAGTACAGTTTTTAGATCATCTGGATATACTTGCTGTGAGGAATCTTAAAGAGGATCATAAAGCCCAAATTAAGAAACTACATAGAAAAGGGTAAATCCTATGTAAGACAGACACATATTTGTCATTTCTGATGAAGAAAAACCATCAGACCCAAAGAGCAGAGTGAGAGAAAAAGGATTTTGTGATTATGCTTACATTACTATTGAAGAGGAAATAGTCATTAATGTTCTTTGTACTCTCGCCTTTCTGTTGCTTAAGACAAAACACAAAAAATACTTTCCACCACAACCACTCAGCTATTCTTTTCAGTGCCCCTTTGAGATGTCTGCGTTTTTACTGCAGGGACATGAGGAGGATATTGTTGTGCTTTTGTGTACATACGTTCCCGCTGAACTTACCCTCAAAGAAAATGTGCAGTTGTGGGGAAAAAAAAAAAGAAAAAAAAAGAATATTAACCTCCTGCTGCTTGGAAAATCTGAAACTGAAGTCTTCCTATGGAAAATAGTGTTCTTAAATAGATTAGCAACCAGGCAGATTTTTAGGAGTGCCTTAGAGAATATTCTCATTGTGTGTTATGAAGGAAAATACTGAATTATCTCCATATGCAATCCGTAGTCAGGTTTTTTGCAAGCACTGCAGCTTCTCTGGAGTGTAGTCTTTCAAATATTAAATAAAAAATGCTGATATCCACTCCCTATACTTTCTTAACAGCAGTAACTTGTGAATAAGTGAGTTTGAGTCAGATCTCAATGAAATACCTAACAAGGGATGTCTAATCCTAAATGCTATCTTTGCTGCAGAAAGGTGAGCTCCCTCTATGCTTGCTTTCAGCGTGATGGGTGAATGCTGCACAGCCTCCCTTGTCTTTCTCTTTTTCTTCTTTATCTGTGCAGACCAGGGGAACAATAAAATTTCCACCTCACACCCTCTTGATAGGCCTCCCAGGGAGAGTTCTTTTCCTGAATGGGTTACAAATATGTCTGTTGCTCTCTAAAGAAACATTTCTGACTTACTTCCGCCCTATGTGGTCAGTGTGAGCACTGGGTGTCTAGCATCCGAAGCACATCCAGTCAATTAACTGGTCTAGCTGTGTGTACAGCCATCTCCATCTGCACTGATTTCATAGCCACCGTAAGGCCCCCTGTACAGCTGGAGGCTTGTAACTGAGCCTGCATATGAACAGGAATTAAAAGTCTACTCTAGTCAATGACTGCACAGCTCAGAGGAGCGATTACTTCATTCTTGGAGAGTGTGAAAACCCCATGGAGCCATGAGAAACACTGCATTGTTCAACTGGCTCTCTGTACATGAACAATAGAGGCTGTTTCACAATGCCAGATTTGACAGTTAAATAAGTTCATTAAAAAAAAGTTACAGTCTAGCATATGTGGCACAAGAGACCACTGACAAATTCTGACATTCACACCCACAACAATACATTATATTTCTGCCTAAGTATGTCCTTTGCACCTTTCATGAGCTAAGCCTTTTTCTCAACTATTTGCAAAGCAGTAATAAATACTCAGGCTCAGAAAAGAAGTATTCATGCCTGCTACTTAATTACAATTTATAGACTCAAGACTAGATTGGTCTAAGATACATTTTTCAAGTATTCTTCTCTTGTTTATAGTACGACAGTAGTACCTTATTGCACATTGTTTCTGAAGGACTCTCTTCTACAAGTGTGGGAAATTATTTCGTTTGGGGCACTTGACAGCTTTGAACCCTGGCAAAATGACTTTCCCCTTCCGATACAGATCATCCTGCAAACCTTTGTTCATCCTTTGCACCAACAGTTTCTCATAAAGCAGTGGGTGGTAGGCCCCTAAGGTACAAGCTGCATCGTAGTAGAGTTCATGGTAGTGACATAGGTCGGTCTGTCGGACTGAAGGGATGTATTCGTACACATGCACTTCGTTACACATGGACATCATGATGAGGATACCTGAAGGAGAAAGTGAAAACAAAAGTGAACCCCAGATTTCACCTTTCTCTCAGAAATTTCCCTGCAGTCATCCAATCTTGTCTTTCTTTCCTGATTTCCTTTGCTGTTGCACACCTTAAGTATTACTTCTGTAAAACCATTAAGTGAAGTAATTGATCTTTATATTAGAGCAGCTTTCACTTATCCCCGATACATAAAGACTGCAATCCCTGTAGAGTCAATGGGGCAGGACAACAACCATAAGGAAAAAGTAAAAAGCCTGTAAAGGGCTTGCGTACCACCATCAGCCTCTTTCAGTGAGAAGACTGCTCTTTCAACCTCCCCCCCTTTACCCTGTCCTGTCCACAAAACATCCAACAAATGAAGCAGGACCTAATGCAGCTCATACTTTTCTTTTTTTTTTGAGTCAGCTGATCAATTTTCTTGTATATTATCAATCTAATTAATTAATTAAATTAATTAAGAATATCAATTTAATCTACTTAGCAAGACAGACCAGGTCTTTATATTCACTTGCAGAATACAGAAGACATACATACACATGGAGTAGTAGTCCGTGTTTCTAAGGTCTCTTCTGGTTACTTCCACCGCATCCAGAGCTAAACTCTGGCCTGTCAGGTGCAGGATATATATAAAAAAATCCAGGTATGCCCATTCTATCCTCCTCTGTGCTTTCGGATATGCATCTTTCAAATATTTACACACATATTAATCTTCAAGGCTATGAAGAATCTGACTGATTTCCCTTTCCATTTTTGTCCACCACGGCAAGGGGAAACAAGAATAGAAAGATGGGCCAGTATCACCTATGTTGTGATCAGAAGCAGACCAGGACAGATTCAGGAGGAAGATAGGTGGGCTTTTGCAAACTCTGTTCTCCTGCAGCAGAACTGTAAATCTGTACTAGCAGAAGGTCCTTTTAGCTTTGAAATGAAAGAAATCTTACTGGTGCAGCCACACATTTTCGAAGGGCTGCATATCAGGTGTTGAGCAACAGCACTGTCTAAGCTGCAATGCTTTCACATCAGTCACAGCTTCTGAGAGCCTCTTCTGTTTCACATAGTCACGTGAAAGGGAAATGATGAAGTAAACTGTGCTTAACTTTTTTTTTTTTTTTTTTTTTAAGATTTCACTTAAATATTAAAAGTATAATAAAATGTCTCAAAGCAATTGTTGCACTACTGGTATCCCTGTCTGCTGAATATGACTGTCAGTTCTTAGAGGAGACAGCTGTATAGTTCTGCTCACTTTGCACTTACAAATGAGAACTGATGTTATTTGTTTTTTTCTGTACAACAGCTTTGGAATCGTAACACATCAAAGGTGTTTTGGGTAAATCTCACAGTTGAAAAAATTAACATAAAAAATTATTTTGGTTCATTAATTAAGGAAAGACATTTCTGAAGTTCAGTTTGCAGTTTGGGAACACACAGATTTCAATGGCTTGCTAATGAAAAGAACCTTATGTTCTCCCTGCTGTGTATCATTAGCTTATCAAAATGATTTTTCCCTGCCTGATGTGTGAAGTAACTGAAAACCAATTACTTCTGTGATTAAATCTTCTTTTATCACAAATGAAAGGTTCTGAAAATGTTTTAGATTGTTTTACAGCTTAACACTCTACAGAGTCTGTGGTCTTAGAAAAGCTAAGTATATCAATTTCAAAGAAAAGTCCACAAATGTAAGCAAAGTATGAGCTTAATAAACCATGTTTCCTTGCCTCCAAGGTGTTATAAAGATGCTTTGAATTGTAGCCTGCCTAGAAACTATGCCTAGAGTTCTGTTTGTTGTTTCAGTTTTACAAATGCTTTCGCCAGCTTTTCCACTGCCAGCCTCCTTCTTCCACTGGTGGAGACCCTACCTGCCACTCCAAGGTAACCGTTATCCAGCTGAACCAGAGGACAGACGGTAGAAACGTGTGCAATAATGAACCACATTCAGAGACAGTAAAATGACTTCTCTCCTGCACCCAGAGCCAAGCCTGGAGCCGGTTTCAAAAGCTCTACCATCAGTCTGTTAGGAAAACTGGCTTTTACTGAAAGTACAAGCCTTAACCACAGTGTGTTTTGTTTCACTGCCACATTACCCAGCTAACCTTAAAATTAATAAATGAAGTTGATATTTGTGGGATAGGAAAACTGTCAAGAACGAAAACTGGCACTCCCTTATAATTTCCTTAATAACCACAAAGATGGCCACGTCACTGCAAGTGTAGTGCAAGAAGGACAAAATTCTAAGCACTATCACTGACTTTCCTGTAAATCAGTTAATAGAGCACCTAGAGTTTTAGTTCTTAGTGATCTGTGGATCAATGTCCTCCAGAATCAAGGCACACTGGGATATTTAGTTTAGCTTCTTGCCTTTCCTGTCTTGTTCCATCCAATCCATGTCTTTGGATTTCAGATTAAGTTGCTCATAAATAACCGTAGTTTCTGTCAGTCCACTCAAGTTTTTGCTCATGCTGGACAATGATGTTTTGAGGGAGGGAAGAAACTCTATTCTGTGGAATAATAGTAGTCAATGCCAGACTTTTTCTCCTTTAGCATTATAGACCTGCAGCCAAGGAGACCAATGGTTTGGTACAGCCAGCACTCCCAAGTACCTATGGGCAAGATCCCAGGGCATGCAGGACTATACAGTCAATCTACATGAACCTGAGGAAGTAGGTCCCTCCACTTCACTGTCACAGCTTTCAAATTCTGCCTTGGAATGTTCTGCTTCTGCTGTTCCATTCAAAAACAGAGAGTAGTGTAGCACTATACAAAAAAACCCAATAAAAAATGGGGTGGTGCTAAAAAAAAACCCCAAACCACAAACCAAGCAGCTTTTTTTGGAAAAAAAGCTGTTTCTTTGTATGAATACAGTCCTCACTAAAGTAGGGAATAAATGGGTTCATTTCTGTCCTGTACCTTAGAGGATGTGAAGCCCCTCCACATGGGACAGCCCTAGTGGTGTAGAGCTGTTACTGCTATCTAAGTTTATACAAAATCTTTAAAACAATAGTGACAGTTTAGACAATGAGGACATTTACACCAGTCCATGTATTAGGATGTATTCAGTTTTTACTTTCTAATGCCATGTCTGGCTTGTTTTTCTTAAGCCCCTAGAACAGCACTGCTAACAGAGCTCCCTGCGCTACCTGCCTCATGTTCCTGCCCATGTTTCTTAGTACCGCTCTTTAACTCAATTTCTTTCTTTCCTTGGTGCTAACAACACTGCAGTGAGTTACTGGCATCTGTATCCAGCAGGAA